ATCTGCCTTCATATGTTTTGTAATATTTCAAAGATTGTGGACGACCTGACGTATTCCCCTCTGGAAAATGGCTATTTTTCAATTTATCAAGCATGCTCTTTCAAGTGATTTTGTCAAATTTGTTGAGCACTTAAAAATCTTTAAAAATGTACAAATATAATTTTTCCTGTTTTAAACCTTAAGATTTGTAGCAACTTTAAAATAATAAATTCATAACTTTGCCAGTTCGGGGTTAGGCAATCAATTTTAATCATCTGAATATGCAATATTTTCTTTTGCTTACATTTATTTTTAAACCTGGATTTCATATCTGCAAGTATAGTTCTCAAAACTGATGATAAAGTAATTTAATTGAAGATATTTATTCACAAAAGCAAGTTCTGTAAAGGTAACTTGCCTTCATTCATATAAACATCTCACCTTTATGGAGTAAAGCAAACAATGTTTTGAGCTAAAAAGGCTTCTGCCCAAAACATCTGACAAGAAAAATATAAAGACAAATTCAGGTTTTATTTAAATCTTCCTGTGCTGTTATCCCACTGATGGTAAACGAGCAAATCTTTAATTAGTTTTTAATTATCCTGGTGTCGCTTGTGCTAAAAAATCCACATGCACCAGAGCACATGTTGTTCTTGCAAAGGTGAGGCAAAGTGTTAATTGTACTTCTGTAACAAGTTTACTTGTATAAGTCAAGAAATGAACCAACCACTGAGTTTTGACTAACAACCAGATTTATCTTTCTTAATTTTACAGCCTAAACCTCATATAAACAATCATAGAAGCAAAAGTACTCCTGGCTTTGTGCAGCTTAACTAATGTTGGTTTTGTTTGTCTGACTTTATCAATAAAAAGGCCTGAATGATCATAAAAGTGCAAGATTTGTGTTGATGCACAACAAAGCAAGAAATAAAATCTCCTGTCTTTACGTTTGTCCAGTAAATGCTGGCTGGGAACTTTTTAAACACTAAAATGTCTCCTGCTGTCTACAACAAAAATAGTCACGATAAAAAGAAAATAAAAATCCTACTTTCTGCGGAGGCACATAAATAGTCAGGTTCTAACAAGGGAAACTTTGTGGAAAAAATAAATGCATCACTAAAGCTTCAGATATACAAAAAATATCTATAAAATTGAAAAGTATATATTATTGAAAACTGAATACTGCATATTTATTTCTTTGCAACATTTTAAATAACCAATATTTGTTTTTAATGTTTTCTTTTAAATAATTTTGTCTCTATACATTTAAAAATCAACGTGAAATAAGCACAATTAAATTTTAAACTTAATCCTCAGTCTAAGTAGCATAATTATTTAATATCTAACCGTCATACTTTAAGCTTTCCTCGAAATCCTTTGGATGAGTCAGAATAATTGCAGATTCATTCAGAGAACAATAATGATAATCACTCAACCATTCTGTCTGATAGAAGCACAATTTGATGATTTTTTTTCCCTGCATCTCTTTCAGTTATGAATCTCTTTTTTTTCTATCGCGTAAACCTTTAATAGTTTTATTTTGTGGTTAGAATATTACACATCATGGAGTCATAATGCTCAAATTAGCCAGAATAACTGCACAGTAAAAGAGCAAACTGGACCTACTGCTGCTGCCAGTTCACATAGTCAGTTGGGTCTTCTTCCGCTGACCCCAGAAAACCTCTTTCTTCCCTCTGTGCTCTTATTCTCTCTCTCTCTCTCTCTCTCTCTCTCTCTCTTTCTCTCTCTCTTCTTCCACCTCTCAGAATATGGGTCAGCGTTTCCAAAATCCTCATTCTGTTTAAAGTTTGATAAGTGCACTCCAGGTGGTAATGGGGTGAATATTAAATTTGTAATCAGCAGTTTCAAGCGTTCACCATTGGAATATTCTGATTATTAAAGTGAATCATTTCCCAGAAGGGCCTCAGTTACATTACATGCTTCGCCTAAATGCGGAGTTAAAACACTAATGAGTGGGACTAAAGGGGAACGAGGCTTTATTTATATTGTCGCCTCAGACAAATTAAAAACACCTAAATTCCATCGTTAGTGGAAAGAATGAGAATACAGTCATCCAGAGTCTCTGTATAAAAATAATGTGGCAGGATGTAACCTTCAAATGCTACGGTTGCAAAATGCTATCTGTCTTGAGTGAAAAACGGGTATGAAAGTTTAATTAAACTGAAAACGATTACTGAATTAAAGGCACAACTGAATATGATCAGATATTGTAGGATGCTGCACTCGGAATGCCAGAAGACACTCAGGTAACGATCAAACTTAAATTTCATAAGCTAAGAGCTGTGGTGTCTAAGTTTAGCTTACAGTATGATGCAGTTATTTTAGAGCGCTAATAGGGAACCAGTAAGCCTGACAGTACCGCTGAAATTTTATGCAGTGCTAATAAATTCACAGCATGCAGACAGAGATCAAGATGTCTGAAATTATGGATTGGGTTATTTTGAAAAGCTATCTTATCAAAAACGCCTGGGTTAAAATGCTGTTTTAAATCACTGTAGCTGTTTCCATCATCTATAGGCATTTCCAAATGATTGATCACGAACACATATTCTCAAGTAGTTTTGCTTTGCTGAGGCTTTCCATTTTATGTTGTAGTATGCTTCGATTCCACAATATATTAAAGGAATTTGTTGTAATTTCTCAGTTTGTTTGACTGCTTTACTTTAATACGTCAACTTCTGCTTCCTGCTGTAGTCATCTGTTGAGGGACAAAATGTCCTTTAGCCACCTTAACAAAATTAAGAGGGAAGGTTTGATTGTTGGGAGTCCTTTGGTAAATGTTTTTACTTCGACTCAGGCTAATATTTACTACCAGTATCTTATAATTCTATTAAGTTTGACATTGCGTGGGTCACTTATCACATTTCACATTTTTTCTTTTTGACTCTTTTCATTTAGAGTTTAACAGTATCTTAGGAAATGAGAAAGAGCTCATGGTTGGCAGACTTTGTATTGTCATGACATGTTGTTTTATTTTTCACAGCTGGTCTTAGTTTGACAGACCTGTCACATAAAGCCCTAATAAAATACATGAACATTTTTCGCTTTAACATTATGTGTGCCTGAGTGAGAGTTTTTTTTTTTTTATACCCAAATGTGGGACTGTGACGTAGAGATTGACCAAACTGTGCAGTTGTAGCCAATAGGAAAATTCAACTGCAGTGGCCACCCTCCAACCCAAAGAGGGCAGCACTGGGATGATTTTAAATGTCATAATTTACACAGGAACATAAAGAGATCATTCAAGGCCCAGTTTATATAGTTTACCTGCAAAAACAGTTGATTTGGGGTTTAGCTACTCTTTAGCATCTAGTTGATTTAAGTATTTTCAGATTAAAATGTTCCACAAAAGAGGAACTTTATATATATAAAATATATATTTTTTTGTTTACAGTTTTTAATCAAACTCCACCTCACACGTTTATATTTGTCATGTTCTTGCCACTGATCTTAGTCATCATTTAGTGTAACGGAACAGTTGGATGCGCTGTTTAATTACAGGTACTTGAAAAATAACACTAGATGAAAAATTACCTTTTGTGAAAAAAAAAAAAAAAAAAATCTGCCTACTTGAATCAGGACATATTACTCTGGCTCTTCATATTTCCACAATTAAAGAGCCACCCCTCCTAGAGCCACTCTAACAGCTGGCCATTAATCAGTCCTCGCGCTCAATTTCTCTTCCACCACAGGTTATGATTTCCACATTACCCTGCTCTCCCTAACGGCCATCCAACAAGAAAATGACCCCTCTCCGCCGCCGCAGCACAAATGAGAGAGAAAGTAACAACGTCTCTATTTGTACTCACTGTCTACATGTATGACAGGATAAAAGTAAGGTTTCATGTGTACTTAAACATTTGCGAGTTTACGCTTAACCCCCTCCGACGGAAAATCTTGCGGCCATTATCCTGTTCTAATTACACTTTCCTCCTGAAACAGTGGATCAGAGGGCATCATTGACTGCTTTTAATCCGCCACCAAATTTTAATTAACACAGACGTGACCCCCGTCTCTGATACATCCCGCAGAACGTCGGGGATCACAATAACTCATAAATCACAGTCACAGATTTCATTCCCCCCCACCCACCCCCTGCTTCCCTGCTTTGATGAATTTCCAGATGGGGGCTGGTGACTGTTAAGGTCGGCAAAAATATGAGAGACAGACAGAGAGGGAAAGTGTTTTGGAGAAAGAGATGGATAGAAGAACGCGGTAAGAAGATGAACAGCGAGGTTAAATTCTGGGAAATTTATAAAGTGTGTCTTTATGAGGATGAGAGGGGGAGAGAAATGGCAGCTGCTCTCATACGCTGTCAAACTTTGGGAGATTTGTTACCAGGGAGAGGATTATGGAGGCTGTGAAATGGGGTTGAGTTAATATGCTGGCCATTGAGGAACACGACATGGGTCTGCCAGCGTCGGTCTCCAAAAATCAAAAGGCTGAACGGGAGGAAAGCGTGGTTTTGAAAAAAAAATGAATGAAGGTCTCTTACGTTTAAGCAAGTATCTCCGATATTCTTTAATCAGTGTTTTTAAATCGCGGACTTTTCAGAAATGATCATTACCTTAATTGAAATTAATGCGTACGAGGTGTCATTAAACCACAGCCTGCCGCAAACACCTACTCGGTGCGCCTTTTGTTTATGGGTGTTTGCTCAAAGTGTGTGCAACTGTGTGTGAATTACTGGATCAGAGCATGTGGAGGTAGAGGTGGGCAGGGTGCCGGGGTTTGTTATTACTAAATCGCTCATCCATGCTACTAATTAAGATGCATAGCATCCCCCTATGAACGTCAGTGTCACTAATTATCAAACAATGTAGTGCTCACCAGATATGAAAACTGGCAGCCTCTGTAGTCGTGTTACCAACCTATTACTGCTACAATTACCAAGTGCTCGTCATTCTCCTTGTTAGTCATCTGCACTCATTTTTTTCCTAACTAATGTTTATCATTTCTCATTTCTTTGCCTTTTTTTCCCCCCCTCCTTGTTTCTAAAGGTTATGGCTTTGTGGATTTTGACAGCCCAGCTGCAGCTCAGAAGGCCGTGTCATCTCTCAAAGCCACTGGGGTGCAAGCCCAAATGGCCAAGGTAAGGAGGGATTTATTTATTTTTTTTTCACAAGACACTGAATGGCCATGTGTCGGTACGAGGTTCTCACATTTTAATTTTAAAGAAACATCACAGTTTCACTGTATTTACACATAAAATTAAAACAACAATTTCCCGTTGCATAAAACTGAAAAGCAACCGTCATTCAAATTGTTGGTACAGCCATCTTTGATTTGTGTTTTGAGATCAAGTCAAAAATTAATCTATTTTATAGATGTTGGATTAGAAATAAGAGCACTACGGCCATATTTGTGACATGCTCATCCCTTATTAGAACAGTTTGGTTTTGTTTCCATGCATCACTGTAATCCATCCATAGCTAAAGCAGCTAATAGACGCCAACCAATGTAGTGACTGTGATTCAATGTGCAAAGTCTAACATTCAGAGTTTTGCGATTCTGAAATCCCCAAACTGACAGAATTATGCAGAACTCATATTGATTAGTCACGCGGTCTGCTCAGGTTGAGCCTGCAGTTGGCTGCTTCACAGCCATGCTGCTGATAGCTTAGGTTTTTTTTTAATTTTTGTTTTAGTTAAAAACAGCGCTACTCCAATTGAGTGTAAGTGGGCACTCCTTCAGTTTCCGTGCTCTTGCTTTTCAGCTTAATTTATATTTACCGTAGGGAAGAGAAATGTAGAATCATGAAAAATGGTCAAATTTGACAAAATTTTGTAGACTCTTTTTAATCGTAAACTTCCGTAACTCTTGTTACTTTGATGCTACGAACCGACCGATGCCTATTCACATCTCCATCTCATTTATTTTCTGCTAAAACTTAAGTTTACACTTTTTAAACGTGTTAAATGTACAGACGGATCTCTCTCAGGGTCTTACAAACATTCAGCTTTACACAATAAACACACTTTTCCTGGATGTAATTATCTGCAATATGTTGCAGTTTAATGACGACCTTTAATTTAAGAAAACCTGTTTATCGTGGCCTGTAAGCTGCTTAGTCTTCCTTTGGCATGTTTAAAGGTGAATGTGGAGTATGTACATCTGTGTACTTCTGATGCTTTGTCAACGGACAGGATGTGCAGAAGTAAGGATGTAGTTTGTTTCAGAGAGGTGATGTGGGCTGAATGTTGGTTTGCGTGTCTGCTTGTGCCTGAACTTTGTTGTTCAATGAAGGCCATGTCGGCAAGCAAATCTAAATGGTGAAATTACACAAAGACCACAACGTGATCTAATTTGCATCCTAAACCTTTCTGACACGTTGACGTGACTATAATGTGATTGTCAGCCTGACAAGAAATTAAATTGTACAGTTTTTTTATTTCATTTTTACATTTTATTTAGCAGATGCATCTCAAAAAAATTAGAACGCAGTTAAACATTGCATTTATTACAAAATGTTCACCTTCAATTTCAGTTTTTCCTTCCATTAAATTACTTTGATACAACCAATTCTTCAGAAGCAATACGTTTTTGGTTTTCCCCTCTTTGTTGAGGGTATCGGTGACCATCTGTGGTTGGTTGATGTTTATCATGTAGGTTATAACATAACTTTGTCTTTGAACAGTTGTTTTTTTTTACTTGTCAGTGTAAAACTAGTTTTCTGAAAAAAAAAAAAACATTTAATTGTAGGTTTCATTAGTTTGAAGTCAAAATCTCTAGAATTAACCAAAAAGCTTGAAATATATCATACATCATATCACCATCTCATAAAGGACATTTGACTTTTCAAGGGTATTTTAATTTCCTTAAAATTAAAATGAGAATTTTAATGTTAGTAGAACAACTGTTTGCTGTTAAACAAAGCCCAGCTGGGGCCTCCCTCTGTGCTGCCGCGGCACCAATCAAATGTTCAACAATGTCCGAATATCTAAATAGGTGGGGAAAAACGTCGGCAGCACTGAAGCAATAAATATGGTGATGACTTTGAGAGGTGCACCATGAGTGATTTTCACAGATGAGATGTAAGCATTTGATTTGATCCCAAAAATCCCCTCCCACCGCAGCCCCTCCACTCTTGAAGCCAAAGAAGGGCTGATGAGATGGAGAACGGCGCCAGTGAAGATGACAGAATTGATGATAACGATGAAGGTGGCGATTATTTTGATCAAATGGGATGGGATCTGACAGGGGGGAGATGACATCCCGCGTGGTGCTCAGGTGTGCCATTTCTCAAATGCACCATTTGGCCGTTTCCTCTCCCCACCAGTGTCCTTCTTCCAATATTTATAAGAGGGCAGGCTCTCAGAATACAGATAGGATCTTTGTCCATCTCATTTTAGGCCCTTTCTTTGCATTGCTCACCCATTCTCTGTCAATATTTTCATCTGAGGGGGTCCTGTGTCCCAAAACAAAGGAGCTGACCTTTTTTGGAGAACCTTTGTTTGCATGCGTGCGTGGGTGCATTCATGAAATCATTTTTTATTAGCATTTATGTATAATAGTTGAGCTTTGAATGCCCCCTTGCTCTGTTCATTCAAATAGAAAGGCCAGCATTCTTTTTGTGCTGCAACCCTGTGCTTTTATCACACTTGCGAGAGACATTAAGGAGTAGTTTGCTTTTATAGACTCCCTCTGCATCTCTCTAATGCCTCTTTACCAGGTATCACAGCCATCACTCTACCAACTCTACCTCCTAATGCCTCCCCTCTGCCTTTTTTCTCTTTGCCTTTTGTTTGATGCCACTTTTACCCTCTGGTGTACACATTAATACCCATCTTTATTTTCACATCCACCACAGGTTGCCCAGCCAACATCCAATGAGAGTAATTTATTCCCATCAATAATTAAGTGTGCTGTTTCTGGCTCTGCCTGCCTGCCAAATTGTCTATGACGTCATCCATTTTCTGCAACAGCATTTTTTTTTTCCAGTATTCATAATTTCATTAAAAAGGGAAGAGAGCTCAGCATTGACCTTCAGATATAAAACGTATTCAAATATTTGTTTCCTGCTTTTTTAATTGTAAAAAAAAAAGATTACTGAGAAATATTACCAAAGTTTAAATTTTAAACATTTTTCAAAAGCATAAAATTACGTGCATATTTTTTTCTCGTTTGTAAAATTTATTAAGTTGAAGTTCTCCCACTTAGAAATTATGTTGCAAATAAGTAACACACAAATAAATTATTTTAAAATATCATACATCCTGATTTCCAATTTTTTTATTTTCATTTATTTTTTTTTAGATTATGTCTCTCACAGTTGACATGCACCCAAGATGAACATTTCAGGCCCCTCCATGATTTCTAAGCGGGAGAACTTGCAAAGTCGCAGGGTGTTCAATATTTATTTTCCTCACTGTACAGCAGTATTTTGCAGAAGAGGGGGGGAAAAAAGGCATAAAAGTTCTGGATTGAATCTAAATCAGGAAAAATAAAATCACGAATGCCACAACTTCCATATGAGGAACATTCTCCCCGATTCGCTCGCTGCTCTTGCTCCATTTTGTCACATATATCTTCCCACAACAAAGTAATAAACAAATACCAAGTTAGAGCCAGAGGCTTTGAGCTCATTAAATAAAACCGTCACAGTAATCAAGTTGTGCCTCTTTCTCCTGCTTTGACGCCATTAAAGCTCTTTTATTAAGATGCCTTATTTTAAACACAGCTGCAAAGGAGGCAAGAAACAGAGGAGAAAGAGAAGCCATCATTTGATTTTTCTCTCTCCCTCCTTTCCCAAAGAAATAGCTTGCTGTCTGTCCTCCGACTCCCCTCGGAATTTAAAATACCAAGGCAGCAGAGATGAAACATTGCCTTCTTTTTGTCTTTCTCTCCCCTGGGGACGGTGACAGTGAGAGGGAGGAGAAGAGCCATAATTAAGACACCTACAGGACACTTCCTCCTGCACCTCCCTCCTTGTCACTCACCTCCACACAAGCCACAGAGAAGAACACGTGGAATATGTTGAGGGGTGCAGGTGTGGGGTTGTTGGTATTTGGGTTTGCCTGTGAACCCGACACTGCACAGTATGAGAGCCTGCTTGGATGCTTACATGCACAGTAAAGGTAAAGTTAGGTTGAATGAAGGTAGCTGCTGACCTCTGGTCAAAATGGTTCTGGTTTATGTTCAAAGCATTTCAGTCTGTTTTGTGCAGGGTGGAGTAGTACACCCCCTTTGCTTGTTACTGTCAGTTGTCAGTCAGATGTGTATGGTGGGAAAGAAAAAAAAAAAGTGGGACCAATCCCTGAAAATTTAAGTTTTTAAAATGAATGTCTAGCTTTCCTTGTTTTGTCTGGCATAACGCAACAAGGTGCGCTAGCTATGCTACCGGAACAGCACCAACCCCAGTGTTATCCTTTCCTGTTTCGGTTGACTGGCTTGTCGGGGACACAGAGGAGACGCTTCCTCCAGGGCTGACGTTGTCCGCTTCGGAGTTGACTCCCATCAAGTTTCCAAAGTTTAGGGAAAAACGTTTACAAAAAGGTGAACTCGGAGGGCCTTTTGCAGCTACCGGGCCTGTGCTACGTCCCAGCCTCTCTGCACTGCGGGCTTGGAGCTAACTGAGCTGGATACAAATGTTTGCTATTGCAGAATATATTATCTGACTTTTGGAGTTTGTTTTGCCCGCAATATGTTACTTCTTAGCTTCACTGCACACTGGACAGATTAATCTTTAATTAAAAACAGGCTATCCTGCATGGCCATCAGTTTCGCGGCACTCGTACTGCAGACTATAATCAACCAACTCAAGAGATATGGAAAGTATACAAGAATATACTTATAAAGAAACAGTGGCTACTGGAGAGGAAGGCAGTTGGTTATGTCAAACACTTCAAAATTGTCAAAAGCTACTGAGGTCATTGATTTTAACACCCGTTATGTAATGTTCTGTTAATTTTAAATACATTTACATCCACATTTTTTTTTTTAAGAAACTGTGGACATATTTTGTTCTTCACAATGTAGGAAACTTATCTAAAGTAAATACAGTAAATTCAGTATTTCAAAGCTCTAAAATCAAACATGGCTAGAAATATGTAACAATACCAAAAAATAGCAGTATTTCTACAAAAAAAAAAA